GCCTCGTGGGCTGGGCCCCCCTCCTCCACGTGCTGCCGGGCAGAGGGCAGGGTCAGGCTGGCCATGCTGCTTACCCACAATGCAAGGCCCCAGCCAAGGGCCCAGGGCCCCTCCCAGCATGCAACACTCCGCCCAGGGTACAGAGCCTTTACCCACAATGCACCTTCCCAGCATGCACTGCTCTGGCAGAAAGGTGTGAAATCCCTTACCCAGCATGCACTGCTCTGGCAGAAAGGTGGCCGGGGGCGGGGGTACCTGCGGGGATCATGACGGACAGGCCGGGGGCGGGGGTACCTGCGGGGATCATGACGGACAGGCCAGGGGCGGGGGTACCTGCGGGGATCATGACGGACAGGCCGGGGGCGGGGGTACCTGCGGGGATCATGACGGACAGGCCGGGGGCGGGGGTACCTGCGGGGATCATGACGGACAGGCCAGGGGCGGGGGTACCTGCGGGGATCATGACGGACAGGCCGGGGGCGGGGGTACCTGCGGGGATCATGACGGACAGGCCGGGGGCGGGGGTACCTGCGGGGATCATGACGGACAGGCCAGGGGCGGGGGTACCTGCGGGGATCATGACGGACAGGCCGGGGGCGGGGGTACCTGCGGGGATCATGACGGACAGGCCGGGGGCGGGGGTACCTGCGGGGATCATGACGGACAGGCCAGGGGCGGGGGTACCTGCGGGGATCATGACGGACAGGCCGGGGGCGGGGGTACCTGCGGGGATCATGACGGACAGGCCGGGGGCGGGGGTACCTGCGGGGATCATGACGGACAGGCCAGGGGCGGGGGTACCTGCGGGGATCATGACGGACAGGCCGGGGGCGGGGGTACCTGCGGGGATCATGACGGACAGGCCGGGGGCGGGGGTACCTGCGGGGATCATGACGGACAGGCCAGGGGCGGGGGTACCTGCGGGGATCATGACGGACAGGCCGGGGGCGGGGGTACCTGCGGGGATCATGACGGACAGGCCGGGGGCGGGGGTACCTGCGGGGATCATGACGGACAGGCCAGGGGCGGGGGTACCTGCGGGGATCATGACGGACAGGCCGGGGGCGGGGGTACCTGCGGGGATCATGACGGACAGGCCGGGGGCGGGGGTACCTGCGGGGATCATGACGGACAGGCCAGGGGCGGGGGTACCTGCGGGGATCATGACGGACAGGCCGGGGGCGGGGGTACCTGCGGGGATCATGACGGACAGGCCGGGGGCGGGGGTACCTGCGGGGATCATGACGGACAGGCCAGGGGCGGGGGTACCTGCGGGGATCATGACGGACAGGCCGGGGGCGGGGGTACCTGCGGGGATCATGACGGACAGGCCGGGGGCGGGGGTACCTGCGGGGATCATGACGGACAGGCCAGGGGCGGGGGTACCTGCGGGGATCATGACGGACAGGCCGGGGGCGGGGGTACCTGCGGGGATCATGACGGACAGGCCGGGGGCGGGGGTACCTGCGGGGATCATGACGGACAGGCCAGGGGCGGGGGTACCTGCGGGGATCATGACGGACAGGCCGGGGGCGGGGGTACCTGCGGGGATCATGACGGACAGGCCGGGGGCGGGGGTACCTGCGGGGATCATGACGGACAGGCCAGGGGCGGGGGTACCTGCGGGGATCATGACGGACAGGCCGGGGGCGGGGGTACCTGCGGGGATCATGACGGACAGGCCGGGGGCGGGGGTACCTGCGGGGATCATGACGGACAGGCCAGGGGCGGGGGTACCTGCGGGGATCATGACGGACAGGCCGGGGGCGGGGGTACCTGCGGGGATCATGACGGACAGGCCGGGGGCGGGGGTACCTGCGGGGATCATGACGGACAGGCCAGGGGCGGGGGTACCTGCGGGGATCATGACGGACAGGCCGGGGGCGGGGGTACCTGCGGGGATCATGACGGACAGGCCGGGGGCGGGGGTACCTGCGGGGATCATGACGGACAGGCCAGGGGCGGGGGTACCTGCGGGGATCATGACGGACAGGCCGGGGGCGGGGGTACCTGCGGGGATCATGACGGACAGGCCGGGGGCGGGGGTACCTGCGGGGATCATGACGGACAGGCCAGGGGCGGGGGTACCTGCGGGGATCATGACGGACAGGCCGGGGGCGGGGGTACCTGCGGGGATCATGACGGACAGGCCGGGGGCGGGGGTACCTGCGGGGATCATGACGGACAGGCCAGGGGCGGGGGTACCTGCGGGGATCATGACGGACAGGCCGGGGGCGGGGGTACCTGCGGGGATCATGACGGACAGGCCGGGGGCGGGGGTACCTGCGGGGATCATGACGGACAGGCCAGGGGCGGGGGTACCTGCGGGGATCATGACGGACAGGCCGGGGGCGGGGGTACCTGCGGGGATCATGACGGACAGGCCGGGGGCGGGGGTACCTGCGGGGATCATGACGGACAGGCCAGGGGCGGGGGTACCTGCGGGGATCATGACGGACAGGCCGGGGGCGGGGGTACCTGCGGGGATCATGACGGACAGGCCGGGGGCGGGGGTACCTGCGGGGATCATGACGGACAGGGCGGTGGCGGAGGCAGATTTGATGACCTTGCCCCCGGCCCGGGCGCTGCGCCTCTCGCTCGCTGACTCCCCAGACAGCTGCTGGTGCCGGGCGCGCCGGAGCACCAGGTCGTTGGTGGCCTTGGGGGCCTGGGGGTCTGCATCCTTCGGGGCCTGGGTGTCAGACCCTTCCTCCCTCTCCCCAGACAGCTGCTGGTGCCGGGCGCGCCGGAGCACCAGGTCGTTGGTGGCCTTGGGGGCCTGGGGGTCTGCATCCTTCGGGGCCTGGGTGTCAGCCCCTTTCTCCCTCTCACCTGTGGGAGAGAGCAGGGGTCTCAGCCGCAGGGCACAGCCCCTCCCTGGGGCCCAGGGGCAGGGCAGCCCATGGCTCCCCACCCCGAATGCACC